GGTGCAGGAGTAGGCCAAAACGTCGCTTTTGGAAGCCCATAAGAAGAGAAGAGGCAGGCCTGCGATTAGAAGAGAAGAGGCAGGCCTGCTGCCGAGGGGTTTGAAGACTTGGCCAACTGCTTCACCCTGCGGTGTCCCAGGCGCCTCCCCGCCTAGGCTTTGGCTATAGGCCGGGGTCGGCGGATAACCTGGCATGTTGCAGCAAGCACACAGACCCTCTCTCAAAGGTGTCCGCAAACATTGACCACAACATACTACCTGAGAAGTACTACCTCTCTACAGTAATATAATACCGTAGTGATCTGTAGTGTATAATTAGTTTGATTTGCTTGATATTCACCATTTACATCCATTTACATCGCTTCTCTATTCCGTATGAAGGTGTGTTTGAACCCATAGAAAGATCTTTGCTCATCTCCATTTGGGGCCACACCGCCAGCGTCGGTCGCGTGTGAGGCAGGCGCTCCTGGGCCCGGAGGGCCTCCTGCGCGACCGCGCCGTGGTGATGGCCTCGCACAGCACGGCCTGCGCCGAGCGAGCACAGAAGGTGCTGCTACTGGGAACTCCACCAGGTGCGACGGGTCAGCGCGTTTGGACGCAGAGGGCGCGCGTGGTTTTCGACCATGGACGACTGATTGGGAAGTGCGGAGGACGACGAACGGATGAGGGTTTTGACGGAGTGGAATGGAGTGGATGAATTGGAGATGATTCGGAGGATTTGATGGGCAGTTCCTTGCAGTTGGTGTTGTTGAACACAGTGATAGGTTTCTGGATGCATCCATAAAGACTGCTGCCTGGGCAAATCCTCAGTCATCATATTATACTAGTATGTTTGTTGCACCATGTTGCACCTGACTTTGACCACAATTCACCAGAGTCCAGCTTGATTGAGGAAGCATCCTGAAAATCGGTTTGTACATGTTTGTACACTAAGTGGATTCCAAGACTCTGGATCTGAAGCCCCTAAATTCTCATGAGCCTCCTGGATCAGTCCATGTCATCATGAAGTCGACCTGCGCGAGGCCGACTTCGATCGGAAAGGCCACCAACATATGCCTACCAGGAGTCACAAAGGGGTGGTGTTTGATCCCTAAGTGAGTGGATCATGGGCACCCCTATCCTCCAAGTTCGGCATCCCGTCGAACGCGACTCCTGGTCGTTAGGCCTAGTGACACCAGGTTTGCCCAGCATGATTTCATCGAACGCTCAAGTTCCAGTTCCGGAAAGGTGCTGAACTTGGAGGATCGCGGCCATGATCCACCCCTTTGGAACTCCTCAGATATCGGGACATATCGGGACCGTGCTTGTAGGATGGACAGCAAACGTGAGATCAGGCTGGTGAGACGGGTTCCGTGAGGTGATTCACAGGATGTGCTCCCCAAAAATTATGAAATGCCCATAGCCAATTCCTATATGGTTCACCCTTCACCCAGTTCCGTCAGCCAGTCATTGGAGCCCTTCACTTGTTGTCTCCGACTGAACCTCCTGGGGCCCATGAAGTTGCCGCATCGACGGTTTTTTTGGGGGGGCTGAAAATACGACGCTGGCTGGTGATCCAATTCTTCACTTGAGCTCCCCCCTTCCGACCCATACTAAGCCTCCAAACATGCAGTTCAGTATGTGCCTGGTTTATGAACTCCAAAGTGTTCAGCAAAAAACAGATATTTTGGTACCAGCTAGTAGCTAGTGACAGCTATAGTGGCTCAGATCAGGAAATCCTCCGTGACAGCTCGTCCGTCCGAAGAACAGCGACCGTCCACAGGGGCCGAAGAGGAATCCAGCTTGCTCTTTGAAGGGACCTGGCCGCTCTCGATGCAAAAAGATCGATATGGGGATGGGTCAAAACCTGGAGCCCTGGTTCCACCTTGTAGCTTGACCTGACGTCGGCAGGTCAACCAAGGTATATCCTGGTTTTGACCCACAGCCAGGTAAAGCCGATGGTGCGTATGTCTTGGTGGAGGCATCCGTGTTGTTGGCTTTCCCCATTGTTCGTCCCACTTCAGGCACTAGGGAGATTTACTCGTTTTTGCAGTGTATATGGGTGTTGGAATCTATCGGAACATTGAGCATTAAACAATCCAAAAAACGTTTGCAACAAACAATGATTCGAACACCCACAGTGTACAAGCTTGGAAAAGTCCCACAGAGAGGTCTCAACAATCAATACAATTGGGGTGAGCATTGCCATTGCATGTGAGTTCATGATGTTGGGCCGGTGCCCGTTCTTGAGGGCTCAGCAACAACAATAAGTTGGCATCAATTATCCCCGCAAGAGACCCCAAACAGTGTGTCTAGAGGTCTACTGTCCAGAGGTGTAGAAGCATCTAGACGTATTGGGTTCTAGAGAGATCTAGAGACCTTGAGGTCCAGAGATCTACAGGTATTGAGATCCATTTAGGTCTTGAGATCCAAAAAGATCTAGAAGTCCAGAAAGATCTATACACCTAGACATCCAGAGAGATCTAGAGGTTTGGAGGTCTAGATCTGGAGATCTAGAGGCCTAGAGCTCTTGAGATTCAGAAAGGTCTTGAGATCTTGAGAACCAAAGACATGAAACCTCTAAGTTTCTAGATCTTGACTATTGAGGCACAGGCTTGTTGCATGTCAAGGTTGCACGGACCTGCACAACCCCGCCAAGAGTGCAGATTCAATCAGGAGATTTACAGTTGATTCCTTCGATAGCAACCGATTTGGATCTAGATCACGAATTGACCAGGGACGTTGTATGAATATTATAAGCGAGGTCCATTCGATAGGTCCGCTAAACAAGCTTTGGGGACCTGTGCATTTGTGACATCTCTGTAGACAGGAGAAGTGCAACAACATGCCAAAGCATCGTTTCAAGACCTCCATTCCGATCCATTCCAGAACAAGTGATGCGTCTTCCGAAAGAATTAGGACAATGCTCTTTCCGACTGGTAGTTCGTGATGTGGACGTTTCTGCAGCGGAGATCCCCCCAAATCCCCGCGAGGATCAATGGCTCTTTGAAAGGAATGTTGCGCTGACATTGCTTGTTGAAAATTCTTGGCCAAAGGCATTGTTTGGGGAAATGTGGACATGTGTTCAATGACTGAAATTTTGCAATTTACATATAAAAAAAATAACAAAATCAGGTACACTGCGTTGACATACTTTATGTCACATAATTCAATTGTCAAATGCAGAACTGCCCTATATATCGGCGCTGTGTTGATCATCCTTTTGGAGTTTCATCCGCTGCACCCACACATACACACCAACAGAGAATAGGCACTGAACGGTGTGTCCGCTCTCCATCGCTGCAACCTTGAACACTTGCGAACCACACGCCGTGACTCTTCCCAAGTCAATGACATTCAATTACATTTTGTTCTTCACATATTTGCGAGGGTTTCCCCTCAAGGCGCGAGCTCTGCGATGAGAAGGAGTTGCTTCAACTTATTGGTCAGGTGCGGTCGGTTGTGCATACGGCTTGGGGTGATATCACAAAATTGCCCTTGAACCAACAAGATGGCTGAGGGATGTGAACATTACCAGTGTTTGCGGTCTGTTCAACACGAGATTCTTAGAGAAAAAGTGTGTTTACAAAATGTTACAAGTGTATCACCAGTATGAACAGCCTAAAGCAGCCTGAAGGTAACGAAGGTAAGACACTATCTTGACAATGGCAGAATGCACACATGCAGTTTTTAGGTTGGTAAGGTATATTTTTTTTTGCGATGGCTAAGTGCGCGACAAGTATCTAAGTGGCGACAACATCCGGGCGATTGAGCTACCCAGCAAACGGGTTTGGCTGGTTTGGCCAGTTTGATTTGTTTGGAGATTTTCCTGGAACCAACATGTGAACTCTGTGTGGGACGTTGCAGCAATTGATTTAAACCTTTTGCCAACAAAACAGAGTTTGCAGAGCCTGCCTATGCTTTGCTTCCGTGCGCTTTGCTCCACGCATCTCCAGGTTGAGACGGAGACGCATCATGAGAAGGAGGAACATGCACAGGAGCCGAGCAGGGTCTGCCTGGTACCCACGAGGACGCTGAGAGTGCTGGAGCCAGGTTTAGTCCACGCCGGAGGAAAGGAGCCAGGTCACCAGGGGTGGAAACGCCCACAGATATGTGCCTGATATGCAAGTCTGTGAGTTTGTGCAGCTGAGACGTTACTTCAAATCCGTCCCTGCTTCACCAGTTCCATTGCTATAAGACCCAAGTGCAACATGGTTTCAGCAAACCACGGCGGTTGGAAACTCGAAACTGAGCGCTTCACTTAGGCCGTTTACCCGAGGGGGTTGACTTGAAAAAAGGTTCCATGTTTCAACTGGGTCGGTGGCTAACATGGCACATGTGATGAATATGTTCCAACATGCATTCTAGAGGGGACCCGGGTGGTTGGGTCTCACCAAAGTGATGACGACTTTGCTTTGGACTCGTTCATTTGCAGAGCACAGAATCGAAATCCGAGATGGGTGTGAGCATCAACTGATTTGGACAAATTTTATCGAATTTCCACCTGTTCCCAAGATGCATCATGACTCCTTAAGATCTTCAAGCCGTACTACCCAAGTCTCCCGAACTATTTGAACCCAACAGCAGGAGACCTTCACATGGGCGCTACGTTCGCGTGAACGGACCCCGTGAGCGGGGTGAGCTCGGGGCTCGGGGTTTCACCCTCGTGGTTCCGACGATGCCATGGAGTCCCAGTGGAGTCCGTGAGGAGACCTTGGAGTTGCAGAAGCTTGAGGTGAGCAAGCCGCCAGGCCATCGAATTGGTTTCCACGCACGATCAAAAAACGTGTCCCAGGGAGGACGAGTCGATGGAGGACCTATAGAGGACCTAGGAGGATGGAGGCTGCTCGCAAAAGATAGTCTGAGATGAAGGAGACAGATGTGAGGAAGACATCAACTTCTCAAACTTCAACTTCTCAAACATTTGCACTCTCAAACTTCAACTTCACCATGCAGGGATTTGGACTCTCAACTTCTCAAACATTCCACGGTTCCGTGAGACAAAGCACCCTATAGCACCCTATATACGACGCAATAGGACACATCTAACATGTCTTGGACGACGCAGGTTTGATGAAGGCAGAGGATCACAGCGGCAGCATCTCATGGCGTGCCATCCGCATGTACCTGCGTGCTGCGGGAGGCGCGGTCGGTGTAGTGTGATGGGTAGTTTTCGGTTGATTCGGTGGCTCTTTTGGTCGATTCTATTTGAGAAGGGCAGAGTGAAACACTTAAGTCATATTGCAAGAGTGAAGAGATGGAATATAGGCCAAAAAGGGTTCCCTTCTTTCACGGCTGCGGTGCCATGGTTCTGCGGATCTATGTTCCGAAACTCGGTAGGTGGAAGTGAGGGACCAATGCGGATCGGTCAGACGAGCACGGGCGCAATACTGTTGATACCCCAGGCCGGCTCGGATAGCCCGTTCGCCCTTGGAACTCACCGTAGGACACCTCGGGTGCTCACCGACTGTTCGGTCTGCAACAGAGATTGCGAACAGACGCGGCGTGGCTTCCAGGTTGGGCTGTGGTGTCTCTCTTCGTGCTGAGCTCGGTGCTGGAACGCACGTTGCTGCTCGGTTCGCGCCATGCGCGGCTGGCGGGGTGGGAGGCCGCGGCTCGCAGGTGTGGGGTTCAACTTTCATCCCTTCTGGTCTTGGGAGCCGGGTTCTTCAACTCTTTTCACCCGGCCTATGCATGTTGATTTCATGCGGTGATTCCAGTAGTAACCCTCCTTTTCCTGGGGTGATTCCGGTCACCTTGGGCGCTCCGCCGGTCTCGACGGAGGATCATCGGCTTGGATTGGTGGCTGTCTCGTTGGACAACAGTGACCAGTGAGGTGCGGGCGATGTGGGCGCGATGTGGGTGGATGTGGGTGATTGATGGTGATTGGGAACACATTCATGTTGCGTAATGGGTTACTCAGTGACTGCATCTCATTTTGCTGGCTTTGTCAGGGACTGTCCCTATCGTAGTTAATATACACATCATAGGCCCAAAGGCCATCCGAGCTGCCATGATTTGGGTGTGGGACACATAGCTCCGGATGTTTACCCCTCTGGCAGGCGACAGCAGATGAGGTGGAGGTGGGGTCAGAACCTCCATTGGTGGGAGCGGGGCGCATGAAGTGCATGGGGGTTTGGGTGGCAATTCCAGCAAGGGATGTGACATGTTGTGACTCTTCAAGGGATGTGGGAGCTGTGTTACGGGATGGTTTTTTGCCGAAGATCGTCAAGGTGACCAACCAGTACCCTGTCTGCGCTGGCAGTTCATGTTTTTTGTTTGTTGGGTCAGTTCCTGCCCAGGATCGGAGAGGTGTCGAGGCTCCAAGAGTCCATGGCTTAAGTAAGATTGTGATTTAGATGACAACAGGCAAGATCTTTGAGGCCCTACTTTTTGTTGGAGAAACTGTGTGGTTTTTGGGTAGGTAGATGGGCTTTAGTGGGCTGCGGGTGACTGAAGAAAATCAGACCCTCTCCCCAGCAACCGACATTCATCAGACATAACCTGGTAACGTGATATAACCATCCAAGCTGTCAGGGGGGTTCCTGGCTCTACCTGCCCTGACGAGTGTGACCCTACCACCTTGCCGAATCCACGGAAACCCCTTTCATAGATGGTCCATTCAGGATGACCCAGCAAGGTTTTAACTTCGAACCGTCACGGCGACTGATTTTGCTCGTCTCCCTCCTCGTACGACTTGCGTGTCCTCTTTGAAAGTCCAGCTGCTTGGAGATGGCTCAGACTCAGACCTGCTTAGAAAGCCTGAGGAGTTCGTGAGTCCTATGAGTCCTATGCATACTCGCGTCTTTATAGTTGAAGGCGGTGGCTGAACAAAACCACTGTTAAGTTGCTTGGGGACCGTCGTTCGTTGTTTCGGGGGAATTAGCGCAGAAGAAGTGTTTTTGACCCTTGCGGACCTCTGAAGAATTGGTTGTTCAGAACTAAGAGAGGGTATAAAACACGTCTTGTTTTTTGCGTTGTTAGTGGCAACATACGAGACCCAAAGGACTATTTCATAGGTTTGTTTGTCTCGTGAGTGGTGAGTGAACGGCCATGGTAAAAGCTTTGTAGACGTTGTAAACCTTTGTAAGTTTGTTTGAAATTCAACAACTCTGTCAACTCTTTGCAAAAGTTGCAAACTTTGTACAACATCTTAAGACTTTGTGAAAGTTTGGTAAACTTTGTATAACTTTGTAAAATAAAAAACTTTGTAAACGTTCTAAAAACTGTGTAAAACGTTGCTCTAACTTTGAAGAATAATTTGAAGAACTCCAAAACTTCGTAAAAGGTTTGTAAACCTTTTTACAAAGTTTGCGAATTTTACAACGTCTTAATGAAGTTTTACCAAGTTCTTACAAAGTTTTACAAGTTTAAAGGTTGACAAAGCTTACAAAGTTTGACAAAGTTTAAAAATGTTTTACAAAGTCTACAAAGTGTTGACAAAGTTTACCAAGTTTATACCAAGTCCACTACATTTTTACAAGGCTTTCAAAGTTGGTACAAAGTTTACAAAGTTTTACGCAGATTTTATGAAGTTTGCAAAGTTTTACAACCGTTTACCAAGTTTACAAAGTTTACAATATTTTAACACAGTTTACAAAGTTTCGAACAATTTCCAAAGTTTACCCAGTTTACAAAGGTTTTACCATTAAAAAATCAATTAAAGACGTATTGAAAGTTTTACAATGTTGCTGCAATGTTGACAAAGTTTTTACAAAGTTTACACAGTTTTAAGTATTGAAAGTTTACAAAGCTTGTGCAAAGTTTATATTTTTTTACAAAGATGGCAAATTTTACAACTTTACATGGAGTTTTTTTCAAAGTGTACAAACATTTGCAAACTTTACACAGTATTTACATAGTTTACAAAGCTTTCACAAAATTTGCAAAGTTTATACAGTTTACACAGTTTTTGCACAGTATTGAAAGTTTACAACGATTTTAGACAGCTTTGGAATTTGACAAAGTTCTTGCAAAGTTCGGAATTTACACAGTTTTTCAATTTTTACAGAGTCTACAAAGTCTCACAAAGTGCTTACAAAGTTTTCAAAGTTTTTACAAAGTTTACAAAGTTGTACAACGTTTTTACAAAGTTTACAACAGCTTTTTCAAGTTTACAAAGTTTTTACAAAGTTTTTACAAAGTTTACCAAGTTTTTACAAAGTTTTTCAAAGTTTACAAAGTTTTTACACAGTTTACAAGGTTTTTACAAAGTTTTTCAAAGTTTACAAAGTTTTTACAAAGTTTACAAAGTTTTTAGAAAGTTTACAAAGTTTTTACAAAGTTTACAAATGGCTGGTGAAAAACACTTATGTTTACAACAAATGACATGAAAAACACTTCTTTTTAGGCAAAAAATCGTGCAAAAACACTTCTTTCACAGAACTTTACAAAGTTTTACAAAGTTTTTTTTTACAAAGTTTACAACGTTCTGACAAAGTTTGCGACATTTGCCTTTTGTTACACAAATTTACAAAGTTTTTACAAAGTTTACAAAGTTTTGAAGATTTTGGAAAGTTCACGAAGATTTTGCCAAGTTTACAAAGTTTTGCAAAGTTTACAGAGTTTCGACAAAGTTTACAAAGTTTTGACAACGATTACAAAGTTTTGATTGTTTATTTATTTGCAAAGTTTACAAAGTTTCTTTCTACATTTTACAAAGTTTTTACAAAGTTTGTACTGTTTCACAATTTGTACAAAGTTTTGAGGAAATTTACAAGTGTTCAAAGTTTACAAAGTTTTCACAACGTTCACAAGGTCTTTCAAAATGTTTACAATGCTTTGACAAAGTTTGCGAAGTTTAAAAAACGTTTTACAAAGTTTGCAAAGTGCTACGAAGTTTATAACGGTCTTTTTTTAAATAGAGTTTACGAAGGCCTACAACATCTAAAAGTTGTTTACAAAGTTTACAACATGTTAGTACAAAGTGTACAAAGTTTGCAATGTTTACAAACTTTACAAAGTTTACAAGTGTTTACAAAGTTTTGACAAAGTTTTCGCATTTTACAATTTTTTTACACAAAGTTTTCGCAGTTTTTTACACAGGTTTACAAAGTGTACAAAGTTTTTACAAAGGTTTACGAAGTTTAAAGTGTTTCAGTGTTTAAAAAGTTTACAATTTTAACAACAGTTTACGAAGTTTTGACAAAGTTTGCAAATTTTTTCAATCTTTACACAGTTGTTGCAGAGTTTTGAAAGTTTACACAGTTTTTCAATTTCACCAAAGTTTCTAAAAAGCTTACACAGCTTTTACAAAGTTTACAAAGTATTTACAAAGTTTACAAAGTTCTTACAAAGTTTACAACGTTTTGCAAAGTTTTCAAATAATAAAGTTTACACAGTTTTGGCACAGATTGAAAAAACGAAACTTTGTAGAAAGTTTGTAAGCATCAAACACTTTTGTAAAAGCTTTGTAAAAACTTTCAAACTCAATAACTTGGTAACAACTTTGTAAAATTCCAAAACTTGTTCAAAGCTTGATAAATGTCCAAAGCTTTGTTCAGATATCTAAAGGTTCAATACTTTGTAAAAACTTCGTAGTTCCAAAGTTTTGTAAAATTCAATGTACTGTAAGTGTCCAAAACTTTGTGAAGTTTGTTATTTCTATTTTTAAACTTTGTAGACTTTGTTAAAACTTTGTAATGCAAAAACTCGGTTAAAAAAGTTGTAATTCCAAAACTTTGTCAAATTTTTGTAAAGATCCAACACTTTGTAAACACTTTGTAGGAAGTTTGTTTGAAGACCTGCGAAAGCTGTTCAAGAAGAGCTGATCTTTGGATCAGTGAGACTGCTTGCATTTTTTTGTTAAAAAAACGGCATTTGGTGCTTGCGCTTTGGGAATTTGTGACTGATGGCTGTAGTGTTTCAGGGTATTGAGGGTGAGAAGAAGGGTCGAATGGTTATTGGTTGTGCAAGTGTTTTAAGACTTGGCCACGGAAACACCAAAACACTTCTTTCATTTTTTCCAAATAACATTGGTGCAAAACACTTCTTGCGAGCAAAAACACTAAACTCAAGCAACTTAACAAAAACCACTGGCAGCAAAGAACCGCCCACTTTGGCTGGCATTCTTTCATCAAATTCTTTGTTCTTTGGCAAGCCAAGAGACCCCCTCTCATCCAAACAGGTGAGCTTCTACCTCGGCGTCTACTTGGTCGTGGTGCTTTTCGCTGCCTTCTTCGTGGCCCTCAGCCGCCGCCTGGTCTTCTGCAGCTTCCAGGGATCAAGGGATGCCTGCATATAAAGGACAAACTATGGCACACTTTGGAAATCTTCAGGGTTTGGCTCTAGCCATTTCTAGAACTCCATTCCATTTCTACCCGTTCTACGCACTCATACCATCCCAAACCCTTTCACTATGGGGTCGATCTATTGCGGAATACGTTGATTGACTCGACGCAATCATGCATGATTTGACCTGGCTAATTGATTTGTGAAACATCGTTGCTTCGGAACCACAACTGACAGCTTCATCGGCACTCGATCTGTGGTTCGGTTTGGTGGGGTTAGGGAGGTCGGGGTCTAACTACCTGAGGATGTACTCACTCAGGGCCAGGGGACGGTCTAACACTGTTAGACTCTAACATGTACAGTGACCTGATGCCCTGGGAGTCGGGAGCCCAGGTTTGACCATTGCCGTGTCCACCGTGAAAGCTGGCCAACGTCTTTTCGAGCAGCTTGCCATGCGCGTGGCTCATGCACCCACTCGCTGGTGGGTGCCTTCGGCTGCAGACGAGAACCAACTTCTCTTCAGTTTTCGTAAACGGTCACCATAGCCAACGTATGGCCCAAATAAATAGAAACGGTTTCCAATACGTTTCTTTGTGGGGATCTACTTTTCTATCTATTTGGTGGTCTATATCTATATTATATATACCTGGAGCCTGAGTGACCCCTGTTTTGGAGGATCAACTATCCAAAATATGGTCTTTTCCTATCAAAACAAAGGTCAGTCAGGCTCTAGGTATATATATATAAGTGAGTCTTTTACATGGCCAAAGTCACCATAGAACCTCTCCTCATTAAAACATATCTCTATTATATCTTATTGATTTTGGGTATTGGACCTCCATGGTCACCGGCACCGCCAACAGCACGGCACCGCTATCTCTTTGTTGGGAGTGGGATCATTACACTTAAATCTAACGGTTGAGCATATGTGTTGAATCATACCATTGCATAAAATGGCCATGACTGCATGGTTTCAGGCAGTTTTCTGGATTTGATGACATCAAACCAATATGGCAAAACCAATTCAATTCCTGATACCAGTTGGCAACAGAATGATGTCCTTCATGTCAAACCAATACAAATTAACATGAATATGTCAAACAAACGGTGAAAGTTGTCCCTTTACTCACCACGCACCCCGTCTCCGGACGCACCGGGTTCCCAGGACACCACTCCTTTGGGTCGGGTCTTGAACCGCTTCAGCCACTCGGAGCAGCGAACACGGACGTTGGCCGAACCGGTGGGGAGTGGACCGCCCAACCGGACTCAACCGGACGCTCGGACCTGCTGTCCACAGCGGACGCAACGGTAGTCTTCGACTTTGGTTCCGAGTGGTCTTCGGTAGCGTCATCTCCGGTTGGGATCTCCGGTCAGTGCACAAAGTTGATGTTGGGTGCAAGCTCCCGGGCCAGGTCCAAGCTCTTGGGCCAAGTGTCTTCGTCAGAGTTGCATTCTCTTCTGCCTGACCGTCCATGTATGGAATAGTTATGAATAGTTACATACATTAGGGTCCGGTATAGAATGATTAGAATGGTCTACCATAAAAATAGGGGACTCTATAACTCTATTTCATCCATGGATGGTCTGGGTCTGTCTAGCTTGGGCCTTCTGCAGTCTCCGGGGACCACCGAACTCCACGTGACTCGACTCGACTCGGATCGACTGGCGAGGCTTCGACACCGAGAACGCGGACACCACGCTGGTGACGCGACTCGGATCGAGGAAGGGAGGCGAGAACTCGGATGGGTGGGTGGGTGTTGGAATCCCATTCCCTATAGGGATGCAAGTACCGTGTCAGAAGGTGATTGGAGACTCTTAATGTAGACGCCTCCTGGCCCAAGTACCTTCTGAGAAGGTATGTGGATCACTAGGGATTGGCCCTGAAACAGATCCACAACTGGACGGTCACGTTGTTTGGCAAATGTCAGATTCCGTCAATGACGTATATAATTGACATTAATTGACAACATATTAAACCTAAAGTAAGTGAGGTGGTTCCTGGTGTGCCACACAATTCCAATCAATGTTGGCTCAAAATTGACTTTGGATGATTTTTGGCGGTTCTTCAATTCATCAGGTCATCGAGTCGATCCTGTTTCGTTCGATCCCGGACCCAGGAAGCTCTTCCCCGCGATCATGTCCTTGAGCTGGTGTGCTGGGGCGATTGCAGTGCCTCGGAGATGACCGTTCAATTGATCATGGGTTCTGCAGGGCATCGGGGGGGGTTCTGCAATTGGTTGTATAGCAAAGCTCGATCCATTAACAGTACGTTTGTGTCTAGGCCTGGTGGTAGTTGCTCCACCTTTAGTTTTGTTGATGAAGGCTTACAGTAAGTGTATGGAGGATCAAGCAGACCTTGAGCACAGCGTGCCGCATGGACAAAACCTGGCGCACGGTGTGCTTTGAAGGAGTGCAGCCCGCCCCTTTAATCAAGTGATGGCAGCTTTGCTTGCCAAGCGGTGTGAGACTGCCCAATCCGAGTCCTGTGGGTGAATTGATGTGAATTGGCTCCACGACCAGGCTGTGTTTGACACCATGGATGGTCCGGACTTCGCTGCATGTGCAGTGCGGTAGTTATGGATTACTGATCGGTCCACGAATGACTCGACAATCGAAAGACCACTTCTTGGTCCCCGAGACCCATAGGCAGCGACAGGTAGTCCAATTGTTCCTTGATTTCGAGTGAATGGGCATTTTGCATGTGACCAGAACCCACCAAACCAACCCCAAAAAGAGGGCAGTTGCTGAAATCATCCATGTGTCCGATCCAACCGACTCTGTAGACCTTTACATACCTTTGCCGTTTTTCCTCGAAGAACCCTAGGCCCTATAGGCCCCTAGGCGGTCCCAGGTCCATCATTGCTCCGCAGTTCCCTCTATCTCTGAGTTATTTTATTATCCACCCTGGACCCTCCAACGACAAGAATTTTCTTATAGTTTTTGTTTTTGACTACATTTTGCAAGCAAAAACTGTAAACGCTACAATCGCTAAGAACGACATAGTTTCAATAGTTTCCTGGATTCTCGTAATTTACTTCAGTTTTGGTGTCCTGACTGCCAAAGGTTAAGATGGGACGCTCGACAAGAATTACCCGCAAAACGCCCGCAAATATCCCGCAAACGCTAGCAAATACCCGCAAACGCCCGCAAATCACATTTCCTTGTCGTTCCAGTTGTTTTCTCATCTCTCTGTTTGACTGTGCCGGTAATGTTTTTACGAAACGCTAGGTTTTTTATCGAATCGACAAGAATGACATGATTTTTTGTCAAACGATTGATTTCAACAAACGACGAGAAATCTCTTTGCATTGGAGGTTCAAGGACATGTTTTCCAAGATCCAACTTACACCGTTTCGTACGCGCCCGAAAACGCAAAGCCGGTTGTGGATGGGGGTCGAAACGGCGCAAGGGCGTTGAACAACCAAACCATCGTTCGTCCGCGTTCATCCGACCGTCGATGTGTTGCTCACCTTCGCTCTATACCGAGACCCCAACATCGCCAGCCATCGTGGGCGTTCAGCCGTCCGTGACGTGGGGAGGCAGGCGTCCGGGGACACGTGAGGTCATGGTGGTGACCTTTTGGCCCTGGTCCCTTCTCTTCGTCCCCATCCCCGCCGCGGCCCTAGGGACGGTGGGACGGTCGACGACTTTTTTTGTGAGACCAGGTGGAAGGGAACTGAAGGAGCGTCCTAGTCCCCAGGGTTTAGGGTGTTTTTGAAACGAGTTGAATGACATATTTGGTTCATGTTCTTGATACAGCTACCAGTGAGCTGCAAGGTTTAAAATGTAAGTTTAAAGAGTATACAGAGCTAAGCACAAGCCTTGGGTTTCTGGAGTTTGTGTCACAGATTCCGTGAGGGCAAGGCTAAGCAGTCTTTTTGGCCAACATGCTACTATCACGAATCTCTCGTACCTTCAAAGCAAAAACATGGTTTTGTTCTACGGGGAATCCAAGACCCTGATGCACCATGACGACCAACAACCCACTTTTACAAAAACTGGAGGTTTGTAGGAATTCCAATATGTATTTGCTATCTTCATCCACTGCTGAAAAACACACATTAAAAAGAGAAAGTTTCGCGCCAACTTCTTCCCAAAGAGACATGTTGCACCGCAATTGATGAAGGAAGGAGGTCATAGAAATATGAAATGTCATAGTAAAATCAGGATACAGTACACCCTCACGGCCAAAACGGCCAGAGGGGCTGCCAAAAAGAGGTGTTTGAGTCCGGAGCTACCTCTTGTGTGGATGTGCTAGTAGAATCCCGCGGACCATAACAACACAACTTCAAGTTTCGACAAGATCAACACCTTCCACCAGCTGAGCTGCCCGTCAATCCACGAACGAGACAAAAGAGAAGGATGATAGCTGGTGGTTCCTCCTAGGTACACCCAGTGAAAAGAGAAACGGTTATCCCGTAGAAACAGGTGTGGTATGGGCCTACTGAGTGTGTTTCTCCTGGTTTCCTCCATACACGAGGGCCCCTATTTCTAGGGTGTCTAAGAATATCCCCTTAGAGGTTAAGGGGTGTCCGTTAACTGCACCGGTGGGCCGCCCCGCTGTGCTGAGACCTTCATCTACTTCCGGCTGTTCCAGTTCTCCAGGAAGTCCATCCGACAGTTCCAGCAACTGGGGCGTTAAGAGTGCTTCACCGACGGATCACCATGTGCAAAGCGACGGTTTTTCCACGAGAACCCAGAACAGGTGGAAAGTTCTGTTCACCTTGATTTTTAGAGGGGAACTGAGAGAGTCAGTGATCCAAACCAAGTGTCCACTGGGCCCTAAGATCCTCCCCCTGAACGAGGAGGAAACATATACAAGTATGAGAGGGGGCCGACATTTGCCGCACAAGTCTGTGATCTGGATAGCTGGCTCAAAGAGTAGTTTCTGCACGGTGATCAGGACAAAGTGGACAAAACATAGGAATATTGTGTTGGTGTTTGTTTGTTTGTCTGTCTGTCTGTCTGTCTGTCTGTTTGTTTGTTTGTTTGTTTGTTTGTTTGCACAGAACACCCCCGAACCAAGAAGACGTGTCGTCCTTTTGCCCAAGTCTTAAGGAGTATTTTCAACGCGCTTTCGTTTCATGCACCCTTTCAGTCTCCTACTGCAGAGGGTTGCTGTCTTCTACTGATCAGAGTGTTTGTATAGTTTTCTTTGTCCAGATTTCCTGAGACTGAGCAAATCGGCTTTTGCGACAAGAGATTGCGTGTTCTGAAGCAGGAGCTTTGGGTGGCTGGCCTGGTTTCCCTAATTAATGCATGTAGACAATATATTATGTAGACCGTCGATAAATAAAACCCCTCTACCAGAATGGTTTTGAAGGGTTTTAAATTCGAAAACCCCTCTACCAGAATGGTTTTGAGGGGTTTTAAATCTCGAAAAGGGGGGGTTTCATGAATTAATCAACAGTCACACGATGACTTGGAGCAGGGATATTATAACAGGAATCACATCCGAGAATCTTCAGGTGCTTGTACTCCCCTCACGGTTCAAGAGTCACCCTCCGAACTTGTTGTGCAAGACAGTAGTACGAACCATGGAAGCTGACCACCACCTGGCCAGTAAAATGGTTCAAACAAGTGTGTCTTTTCTTTATTAATCTTTATTCATTTCTTATAGCTATATATGTAATCTAGTCTTTGCTTGTTACACAATAATCTGTCCCAAACCTCATGAAGTGAGATCCCTGAACCCTCCCCGCCAAGTAGCACGCGTGCAGCCTGGAGGGTGCCCCGTGGCCCTCCCGATGCGGCGGCTGCAACGGCGCGAACAGCACGGCGCGTGCCGAGGCAGCTGGATAGCATCTCGCGGAGTCCCATGCAGTCGGTCTACTCCGAGGCGGTTCGCGATCGGCGGACGTTTTGTGCCCCCCAAAAAAAATTAGCCTGTACGGTACGAGCGCTCTCGAGCGCTCTCGAGCGCAGGATCCTATCCGTCATGTAGGATCCAGCTGCTGCTAACTGGTGAGGTGGATCACCGCCACGAACTGTTCGACGGATCACGGATCCCCACGGCGTACAGGAAGGTGTCAGTCGTTGGACCGTCCATTTTCGGTGTCCCATGTGGGAAGGATCCGGTCCGTACCCGTTTTGAGTACCTAGGAGTCCTAGCTGTCCGTGTTCCAAGTGATCCAAGTGCGAGACCTTAAGTGATTGTCATTAACTGACCAGAACCTTGTTGGTGAGATACTTGCATTCAGATGCATTCAGATATATTCAGACCTTGCATAGACATCCAATGTGACACACGCTGTGACCTGAACGCTCGGACTGAACGCTCGGACCGAACGCTCGGACCACGGCTGAACCGGCCGAAGCGGGCCGGACGCCAGGTCCTGAATGGCATCGTGAGCGTCCGTGCCTTCGCCTGCGAGGCGAGGGCGAACGACGAGTCTCCAACGGGGCCCGTCGGTGATCCGATGTCATGAAGAAAGACAACGGAGCATTTCTGGTGGGTTTTCCATGAATCATCATGAATCAGGATTTAGAGTTGGAACTGGTTCTTGCAAAAACAGAGGGGCAACTGGGATTGAGTGAGATGTTGTTTTTTGGTTGGCTCTTCTTTCAGCGAATGAAGGGCATGTTTGAGTAACTCCATGATTGCAGAAGTTTTGGCACAGATGGCCTATGGAGGGCAAGTCTGATCAGAACACCTGTTTTGAGAGAGATGTGTCCTGGATGAGCGGGCCACTCCACTGCTCCCACTGCAAAGCTTAATCGTTTGGCATAACCTTCAGGATAATCTGGGTGGCCTAGCCTACGGCTACACTGTCCAACCAGACCAACCGGAGCCTTCCAGTCCACGAGTCGACCTCTCGGAGCCTCCCTCACTGCAAAAACGATCGATAATCAGTTTGTACAGCACCAGAGTTTAGCGATATGTTTGTTGACATTGCATGGCTCTCCTTGCTCCCTGTGGGACCCCTTATTGATTCAAGTGAATTCACCTCCGACTGAAGCCTTTGGCCCCGTATTGTCTCTTGCCTTCACAGGCGAAACTCGAAGCCGAGTGGTTCGATCTGAACGTCGAGTGTCAGGATTGCGGTGAACAGTTCAATCAATTTGTCATGATTTATATATCATCATGTTACCATGATCGAGGGTGGTTTTACACCGTTTCTGGGGGTGGCTTAAATCATGATCAGTTGCTGCCAGTTTTGCGCCAAAGCTGGATGGGACGGTACCGTCAGTCGCCCCTGTCCGGACCCGCCCGCGCCGAATCCAACCCGCGCAAGGCTCAATACCAAGAGCGCTTGGCCAACGTCATCGACGTGACTTGGGCGCTGGCCGTTTGGAAGTGACCCTCGAAACCCAGACCACTGAGGATTTGACGGCGTTCCCAATGGTTTTGGGGAGGAGGGCACTCGCCTCAAGGGTTTCCAAGCAAACACGAGGGTTCAAGAGGTTATGTGATGACTTGTGGGATAGGCAAGCTTCGTTTTGAAGTCTTCCCCAATCAAAAGTCAAAGGAGGTGGCCCGGGGACCCTATTGTGTTTTGTGTTTGTTTGAATTGATTGCCCCCCAACACAGACAGACAGAGACAGAGACCCACAGACGGACAGCCTCGCACACTCACTCTCTCACTTACTCACACACACACATGCATACCAAGGTGACCAGACATTCTTCCTCAACGCGAGTAAGGCATCCCTCTGGGTCCCTTAGGGTGTATGTATGTTAGTTCTTCTCATGAAGCATTACTCTGAGCATATAAAAGAGCCCACAACTAGTCTTCTCATAAAGCAGCACCATGCCCAAAAGAAATGTAGCTTGACCCCCTCCCACGTATTTGCGGGGCACCCCGGGGGGTAGGCTAAGATACAGGAAACTATATTTAATATGTTTAATGCTCGGGGCATATGTTTGATGAGTGGGGGTGGTCAACAAATGTAATCTGCGGAAGCTTGAAGCTTGCTTTTGCTCATTGTTTCTCAGAACTGCTTGCCTTCCCTTCGCTGGCAGGCCCCTACGGTCAAATGGTGACTCAGAAAGAAGGAAGACATAAAGAAAAGATAGACACCAGCAGTAAAAGTCAGTAAATTAGATAGTTAGATAGATAGAAATAAGAAAATATAAACAAACATACATAAATTTAAATAAGAGAGAGAGAGAGAGAAGAACAAATAAGGAAAAGGGGGCTACCGCCCCACGCACACCCACCCGAAGAATACATTAAGGAACCTTCGGCCTTCAGCACAAAAAAAATCAGACAAGATAGAGACAGAAGAAAAGGACGAAGAAGACGAGGAAGAGCAAAGAACTCCCCCAGCATCAAAAGACCGTTTGTGTACAAAATGCCCCCCCAAACTATCAGCATGTAAAACAAACACCCCCGGACCCAACAGCGGGATAAGAAACCAGCGCCCGAGCAAAAAACAAGGAGCTATAACGACCTCTACCCATTACTTCCGCTTGGAGCTGACTTTTTTTGACGAACAAACATGTTTCATGGAGTGTAGTAGCATTTCATTGTGTTCATAGCATATAGAAAATTATGTCCTTGGCAGGCGAAAACATGCCAAGAGCTAACCTGCAGGCCCAGCCCGTCATTTCTGATTTTGTTTGAAACAGTACAGTACATATATAAACTGAAATGAAGTCACTCCATTTGTTTTTTCTGTTCAATGCAATTTTGGGCGCTAAATGGAGGCAGATGTGGCAACCTTATGATGCCTGAAGATCCTTCTTTTATTGTTTGTGTTGTGTCTCAAAACTGACTGCACATTTAACTCGATCAAACCTAATGTTCTTGCTCCCACAGTGCCACAGTGTTGTAATAGACAGATTGGTGTTGCTATTCTGTCAGACCATGCTTATGTGCAAATTGTTGTGAACCTCCAATACACGATATCCCTTTCCAACAAGTCATTGGTCGTCGTCCCATGTCGATCCAGACGTCCATGCCCGCGGCCTCAATCCGTTCCGAATGCGAGGTGAACTCGGGCGCCATTTTGACGTTTAACTCCTCGAACCGTTGGTTGGGCGTCAGGGTGGAGCTGCTCGCCGGGTCAATGGTGACGCTAGAATACACGCGCTGCGTTTTTTTTGTTTACTTCCGGTGTGTTCAGGCCTTGCGGAGAGGAAAGGAGGGAAGAGATGATGTGGCCTGGGTGGTGTGTGGTGTATGTTCACTCTTTCCTTTTGCCGAGTTTACACATTGTACAGCAGCAGGGGCGTGTGACACTCTTATCCTATCACACGCAACGAAGCATAACGAAGCTGTGGATAAGAGTGGGAAGGGAAACGTGGCCAGTTTCCTGTACCTGCACCAATTGTTTAACATATTCTAAAGAGCTAATGCGTTTGTTCAAACATTCAGTTGCGCTGACCTTTCATTCCTGCGGTTTTGCAAGTCAAGAGCTAAGTATTCACTTAAAGTGCTAATGCTCACCGCGAATAGCCTGAAGACAAGCTCCACGGAGCAACCTTCTCAAGTGTGTGTGTTTTTGTTTGGTGTCCGTACTTGAGGTTGGGGGTAATATGATCCAATGGGGTTAGACTCGGCAAATCGACCAGATTGCAGGACCATGACTGGAGAGAACGTGTGCCTGACTGGCATTTTTTCAGCAGCCTGTGTATGAAAACCTAGTGATGGAGAAGTTGGGCAACAAAGGTTACAACTGTATGAATTTAAGGTTTTTTCCCGTGCCTCTCATAAGTGGCCACAACAATATATTGGCTACTGTACGTGTTTTTGCCTAGAATTCAGCATGGTCCATCAAGTGCTGCGCAAATGCAGGAAGCCAATGGTGGTGTGATGTTTTGCAATCATGTTGGAGGGTTTACAAAGAGCAGATAAAGTTTACGAATTTGGCTCTCACCTTTGGCATGCCAAAGCGAGAGCAGGCCGCGCGACGTTGCAGCCAAGGCTCCTGGCAGCCTTCATCAGTAGCTTGTTGGGCCTCGGCGTGTGGCTTTTGCGCGGCTTCGTTCCGGCGAGCTTAGCACCTCAGCGATGTGTTTTTGGAGGGTAAGAAAAGAATATTGGAAGGTCCTGGTAGTAGTAATGCATTTGTTACTAGTAGCGGTGCATTTGTTACTACTAGCGATGAATGCAGACAAGTTGTGCTGCACTTGTTTGGGGATGCTTGGTGCTTGTTTGTGCAAAGGAGGGATTCCCAGGGATGATCGGACTGTGGTTGATGGCTTTGTGAAGCCTTGTCAGGCGGGAAGTCTTTGGGGCCCCCTTTGGAAGTATCACTGTTTTTTTTGTTCCTGGCTGTGCTTGCTTTCCTCCAAGCAAGGGTCAATCCTTTGCCTTGTTCCACTGCCTGGACATTAGAGGGTGCATGTTTGGTGGTCAAAGTACTCCTCAGGTTGGTCTTTTGGGGCCGGTGTACGTCCTGAGTGTAGGAGGCTTTGCCCAGCGTGGGCCGAGATAGAATCTGCTTGAAGGAATGCGGATTAGCCGCCGTATAGGATGCGTTTCATGGCAGTTGAGGTTGGCATGTGCTTCATTTGGAACTCGAGTCTTGGCAAAAAAATCGCCGAAGGCAGGATCCATGTGTAACACACTTCTCCACACCCAACATTTGCCTGCAGGCAGGAACCACTCAGAATTCTTGTATTCAGAGGTATACGTAGGTTGGTGTATTCAGAAGGTCGTGGTACACCTAAGAGTCCCCTATAATCCAAGGTTTTTTGGCCTTCGATGTGTGTTGCTTCTTCCATGTACTTTGATTTGGATGACTATCCTCCAGTCTCCTGAGTAACAGGCGCCTGCGCGGTGCGACTCCTGCCACATCTGCTGCCAAAAGATATGGCCTGCATCCACTTGCATGTGGGAGGTCTACCAGCTGGTCTACCACTTGGGGAGGATTACCAGCTGGTCACCAACAACTCCCACTAGACAAAGCGTCAAGTCGCCCTGGTTCGGATGCCCGCCGCCCAGGGTCCGCGGTTCGCCCATCAGTACCATCCCTTTGTCCATCGAACACACCTTCGAACAGCAAGATCATGATCTTCCGTCGGACTGGGAGGGATGACTTGGAGGGTAGTTCAGATCTTCAGGGATCCCAGACAAGGCTTCCCAGCCTGGCTCCTTAAGATCCCGATTGATCCCAGAAGTAGTAGAGTCTTGTAAGAAAGCGGCATATAGCCCAAGAGTATCCAAGAGTTTTTCCGTTCTGTATGGATCCCAGAACCTTCTCAGAAGGGTAGGAACTAAGCTTCCACAACCTGGAAGCATCCCCAAGCACCTGAAGACATCCACCTGGTCATAGGAAAGACCACCCTGGCACCTGGCAGCCACGTGTGCCTGAGGAACTTAGCCGTCTCCCTCGGGTTCAACTGCATCTTCTCCAGCCAGGCATGCAACAAATAAACGTGACCATCAACATCAAAACTTCGCTTGTTTCAAGTAGACTATACGTCGTACGTGTGTGGTGTTACGCCCATACCCGAACAAGTTCTCCAAACAAACATCCCATCATCACATCATATTCACATCCCATCACATCCCTATTTTTGCCCTTGGCTTAACATCCTTGTCACCATCGAGCTCTCGCGAGTTCTCGAGTGATTTGGGGGGAAGGCAGCTGTTGAGAAGCAAACGAAGCTGCTCCCCGGGTCGCCAGCGTAGCACGACCCAGTCCAGGCCGAAGCATGCTTCACGTCGATCGAGCGCATCACTGAGTATGCCGTGGAGGCACTGAGTATGCTGTAGACGCACCAAGCTGCCATGATCAGGAACTAGTAACTTACATCAGCACGCAGAAGCTACTAGTAACAAAGGCATCGCTACGAGTAACAAGGGCATTACTACTAGTAGCTTAGTAGCTAGCAGCTAGCAGCTAGTAGCATTTGCAACTAGCAACACTACAGAGAGCCTTTAGGAACATGATCAACAGGGGTTCTTCCTTTTACATCGGATGCTTCCTTTTAACTGTGTTCGTGATCGAGAACACCTGGCATCGAATGGCCCCAGGTCCCCGACGAGAGACTGGAGCATCCAGACGTCGCGAGGCCACGGGAGGGGTTGGTGGAGATGGGGTGAAAGTGAAGATTCGGAGCGGTCGGGAGGCCATATCTTGAAAGCTAACAAGTTTGACCAGGAACAAGTGGCTTTCAAGGATTTTCAAGGCATCCAGGTGGCCAAGTTTACTGGTAGCCTTGGAACAAAACATGGTTACCTCTAAGTGATGGCAGTCAGTCTGGTGTTTGGAACTTCGCATGGCCACAAACTTGGCTGCCGGGGAAGAACCAACTTGAGTTGGATTCTTTGTGAAGTTGCTTTGTGTTATTCAATTATTCCCATACTTTCGAACTCCTCACCACAAATACCAATGCTGACCCGCCGCTGAAGGCGGGTGCAGCACTCAGTGTCCCGAAGTTCTCAACTGTTTGGGTTCCCTCGTGTGCCACGGTCGCTTCCCACACCGACGCGCGTGTCCGGGACAACTCGCAGACGCGCTGCGCCGTTCGTTCGACTTTTAGGAATTCGCAGAAGAGATCCCTTTGTTGGTTTGGGATCTCAGATGGAGTTTATACGGTGGCTTTTATTATTCATCAACAGTCTAAATTGGGAGATCTCAGGCTGAACACATCGCAGGTTCACATTGACTCTCCAGGTGCACTGCTGCTGGCACTGCTGGTGCCAGCGGAGGCCGCGGAGAGGAGGGCAGTGCCTTGCTCAGCTTCAACCAGGCAGGTGCGTTTGGGAATGGCCGGGATAGGCCTGGTTCTCTTGATGTTGACAACCTGTTCCAAATCGACAAACGTAGAAGTATGCTGCTGGTTGGTAAGCAACTCCAAGGATTTTCAGATTTCAGAATTCCCAAGTGATGCGGAGATTGCAACTTTGGGATCCAACCGATTGAACCAAGGCAAAATTCAGTTGTTAATTTACTGTATCTCCTCTATATATTATATAGCCCGTGTGTCATCACAACGGTGCACCACGGCATATCCTTGCCCTGTTGCCGATCTCCCTGGTGCTTTTCGGGACTTACTTCTACACTTTTCCGGATGGTTATTTTTTCCAGATGCTTTTTGTTGGTATTGGGATGCACTGACTTTGCATTGAAAGTCCTTTTTTCTCCATAGGTGTCGCTGAGATATCAGCCTGGCCTTCCATTGGCGCTGAACGCTGTGAGCTTCCACCTACAGCGCCAGGAGCAGGGCGAGGGGCTGTGTTGGGCCGCAGAAACATGGTGGGCTAAGGGTGGGTGCATAGAGATGATAGAGCCGACTCGACCTGGGAGTTTCCTTTATATATAACTTTTCTGGGCTGAAGACAGGGAACTTGGAGAGAAGAAGAGGCTCAGGCTTTCAATGTTTGGCCAGTTGCCTGCATATTCCACCAAAGAACTTCATTTGTTCCGGAAAAATCAATCCACATAGCCCCCGTAGACCGTGCGAATGAGATGGTACACATGGAGAGTTATGTCATACAACCCTCTGAGGATGAACAGCTGGATCCATGGCTTAATAGTTCCAACACTGAGCAGTTTCAGACTGCATTCTCGATGCCGTAATATAATATATGATGTTTTACTATTTTTTACTGATCTGACACTGACTACTTTACTATAGCTGTACAGATGCATCGTGTTCTTGTTGTCCTTGGACTAAACCAGTTGACCAGTAACATGAAATAGAAAAAGGGCCCCTGTCACAACAGAAGCTCGTCTTCATCCGGGTGATTTGCATTGCTTAGCATACGACATCATACGACACAATGACTGCGGAATAGAACGATCATGACTAGAAGAGACATGAAGATACTGGTCGATGCACCTTCCGACACTATGCACGGGCCAAAGACCGGATTTGTCAAACAAAGGGTTTGGACGGGCTCACATCCCACAACCCTTCAGCGAGCTCGTCGCCTTGAGAAATAGACTCCAGCAGTTTTTAGCTCCTGGTCCCTCTTTTCACACATCAAGAGACGGGACCTTAAAGGGGCGTAAAGGGGGACACTCCAGGATAGAACCCCAGCGACCTCCAAGTGGTATTTATCAAATCAACCTTCGGATCTATAAGGAGCCCGGCTGAGACAGGATGAGAATGCTTGCTTCAACCTCTCCAAACTCACCACCCCCCGGGAGAAAAAGCCCGCTGCAGCCGGCGCCTCTACTCGACCGGCGCGACGCGACCCGGTCCCTTCGTGCGACGCTCGCTGACATCAGGAGCGCTTGGCGGTGGTCGGCCGCACGGGCTCTGGAAAGTCGACCTTGGCGGTGGCCTTGTTCCGATTGTGCCCCTTGGAGGCGCGCCACCCGACCCTTGCGTTTCGGGAGGACGGGGTGGCTCGAGGACGGGGTACAGGGGGTTGGGGGGTGCACAAAGGCGAAGCAGATGATTTCCTTGCAGGAGTTATATTTTTTTTGTGAAATGCTGTGAAAGAAGACTTTGGAAGAAAGACTTATGTAGTTTTTGAGAAAGAATACTTTGAAAGTGAAACGCTGTGCGGGAGTTCTGCGGGCATTTCAGCTCTATATCGACATAATATAGACTCTATGGACATCTTTGTTTGTTTAAACTCTTTCTCAAACATGTATGGAACATTGGGAACAGATTTCAGCCAGCCTGTGCATACCTCGAACATCCTGGCAGTTAAGGCAGTTAAGGCAGTTAAGGGGCCAGTTGTCATTTTCTTTTTTCGATCGTTCAGTGCGTTCGGGGCTTGTTGTGCACGTGATTGTGGGGTCCTACCTCAGGAGAGCAGTGGGGCCTACAATAGGCGTCAAGAAGAGATGGTTGTCACCACACAGCACATGGAGGGGCTAAAGGCTAAAGCTCAAGATCTATATGGTTAGAATTGTTCATATCTATGGAAATGAACGGCTTCATTTGCTGCAACCCATGAATCAGCTGACCCAGGATTGCCTGTTGCGATCTATTTCCCAGATTGCAAAACAAATTAATTAAGAAGAATTGTAAAACACATGCACGGTCTTTGTACGGCTTCGCAAAAGTTCAGTTCCAAGAGTCTACAAGCAGTTGCCATCAATTCTGTGAGAAACCAGTTCCGAGCTTGAAGTGTTTCAATGTGTTTCATCTTTGGAAGCACATATATGTAGTATAACAACATATAGACAGACCTTCCAAGTTGTGCTATGTGCTGCTTGGTTATTTTTGTTGCCGCACAGCTAGGAACATAGCTAGGGACCCGCAGGAACCCACACTCGAGGGCTCCAAGTGCATCCTCAGAAGAAAGGTCAACCAGTCATATTTAGTTCTTACTGTTTGTTCTTTTGTGTTTTCCTTTCTTGCTTATAGTTATAGTCCTTGATAAACCCTTGATAAACAGTTCTTTGACGCTTTCTTTATGGACAGCTCTTTTTCTTTGGGTGATGTTCTTTTCATGTCGCGTTCCCGTCTTTCCTTTCGTTTGACCCACCCTATACCCCAGCTGTCACCGAACTCGGTCACCGAACTCGGCCACGTTAGGAGGGCCAAGTGCTTCTGAGGGGGCAAAACTTGGCGCAGCTGCCGCTGGGGCAAGACTCGTTGGTGGCTGATTGGGTCAGGTCGGTGTTTTTTGGACGGACCGGTTTTGGGGGAAATTTTGAAGGGAGTTTCCGTGCGACCAAACCGTTCCTTGAGATGTAGAGACCACTCACTTCAGCCGTTGAGAAAGGGACAGTAGAAAACAAAAAACATCCCCTGCTTAGAGGGCTTTGGCTCCCAAGGAATGGGAGAGGGTGTGTTTGAGACACTGAGACACTCGTAAAGATTGGAAGGGTGCCTTGGTGTTCATGGGCATGATTTGCATGGTGTATTTTACTGAATAGTTTTTTAACTGTTATTTAATGATCCAGAGTCTCCTGGGCCACAAGGGGGTTTCAACGCCTGTGTTTCCTAACGGAGGCTTGCAAAGAAGAAGTCATTTTGAGACCCAGCCATATAATGTAACAATGTAAACCCTCCAGTTCTTAGGCCTCCTTTGTCATGCTCCATCACTCCGAATGAATTCGTAAGGCCCCTTGATGTGGCGCGACGCTCCATGGGCATCATCACACAGGTGTGCAGAGCTTCAGAGCAAACAGAAATGGGATGGAACAGAATGGGAGGGTTTGGCATGGAAAAAGACTGACCGGTTCGACTCGTCAGGAATAAGGGTGGCTGGATCTACAGGGGTGGTTCATTCCCTCATTCCCTACGAGTCGCACGAGTCTGAAGATGGAACAGAAAAGATGGAACAGTCCTTGGACCCCTGGCTATGCCGATCTTGAGCGATGTTTGACATTCGTTGACTCAGTTTACTGCAACCAAGTGCATGGAGTCGCTTTTGGAGGCAAGTCCCGAGTTTCTCCTGGAACATCAGCCGGTTGGGATCTTGGGCAACAGTTGGGATTGTGTGATTTCATACATCATTGACCTTGTCCTTTTTCCAGCGGTGAACGGGTTTTGCAGGATCCCGTGATCTTCAGTGGTACGGTGCATTACAACTTGGACCCCTTCGGCGAGTTCGACGCGGAGTTGCTCGGTTCGATGCAGTGAACACAGCGCGTTCATCGCGCCAAGTCGTGTGGTTCGATGCACTTGGAGCCATAGAACCTCAAGTGGAGAAGGCTTTGATGATTATTTCATATTGTTTCGTGTCTCGATGATACATTATAGCAATTTTGCTGACTTAGAACTTCAAAGATTATTTCCACGCATTTGCACTTGATGTTTTCGAGGTTTGGGCCCCCTGGTGTTTTGATTTTGTCAGGAGCACTGGAGAGCAACGGAACTCTTTGTGGGCACCCTTTAGCAAAAACTAAGTAATCGTATAGAGAAGATTGACCATTGAAATATTGTGCCATGAGACTGTAAAAGAAGCAATCGCCAGAATGAATGATTTAATAGCATGCGAAGCAATCGGGAGCGTCAAGCAGTTGCTCCCTTTTTGGGTTTTCATGATCGTTGATTTCCATCGAATTCAACACGACGCAGGTCTCTGGTCGTGCATGGAACGTCGACCGCTGAAAGGTCCCATGGGCACCAACTCCAGCGGCCCGGCCACCCTGCGGCCTGGTGGGTGGTTCGCCACCCGACGAAGCAGCCCAGTCCGAGGAAATGCTCGGCCGCTCTGGAGCAGGCGCAGCTGGCGGAGAGCTTGGAGCTTGAGACGCAGATCGATCAGGTGCAAAGCTGCTGGGAGGGGTGTGCAACAGGGCATGTTCAGACCGTTGGAAAGTGACTGAGGATACTGAAGTGTGAAAGAGCCCTGACATGTTTGGAAAAAAGTTCGATGTTGAAACTTCTATTAGACTAGCATCTAAGGCTTAAGCAATGTCATCACCTGGTTCTGTGTGTGTTGTTCATGTTCTTCCTCAACTCCAGGTGGCTCGCCTTGAATCAAAACCAGTCCCCGCATCACTGTCGCCAACGATGGGCGGCTTCTGTCGTGCGGCTTTTGTCGGCGAAGAGCTGGGGCGGAGCCTCCAAAGGGAGGGGGTGCCGGGGGAGGCCTGATCTTGGTGCAAAAGAACGAATTACCAGGCTTGCGCTAAGTGTCCAGGTGCCTGTAGGCAGCTTGCGCAGTAGCTTGTCGTGCTAACTTGGGAATCTGTAAACAGGTTACTGAGGGAGCAACGCCCTTTAGTCACTTCTGAAGGAAGCTCGTGTGGCTGCGAGGACGATTGGCTTGACGCACATCCGGCCCTACAAAGTCGCCAGCTGGTTTGGACAGCCCAGCAACACCGGCAACCCCTAGCCATCACTTGTAATTGATTGCTTGGATCTAAAGAGATAGGCTTTTCGTCGCCGATCGAGGCTTCTTGGAGATTGAGCAATTTTTATCTCCAGGACTCCAAGATCATATATATAATATATCATATATAATATGTGTGTTCAAAAGCCCTTGCGCTAGCACAAGCTCGCGGTTCTGCAGCCATTCTTTACAGTCTAGAGGTGTTTGTTTTATACATCCCTGCCTTAGTGGCTATCACGGTGAGATGTCGTGTATTTGCTTTTGCTGCTGTCCTGTCTTTTCTTGTGCTTCGCTTGGGCATTGCAGAAGGCCTTGTAATTTTGATTTGCATTCTGAGCCGACGAAGCCACTTATATAGGTTGTGCTCCCGGCTTGATCGGCTGATGGCCAACTGCCAACTGCCCTTTACACTGCTTCTACATGGTTCTACAACCTTTGAATATTCTCTGTGAGGGCAACCGTGACTCGAAACCATAGACCAGTTGTATGCAAGTCTCACGGTAACTAGATCTTTTGTATTTAGAGACTAGCTCTCAGCCGATGTAGCCGTAAACAGGCTCAAATCAAAGGCACATAACTGAACGCCATGGTTGTATGGCGTATGCCTGATAGCGACGATGATGAAAGTGACTATGAATCTTAGTGAATCATCTATCGCTGAGTTTTCGTTTGAGGACTGGGTACACTGTAAGAACTTGTTGGGTTAAAAATCAGTTCACTGTGGGCAGGGTTAGGTGCCTTTGGGGTACTAAGTGCTAGGACCTCAGTGCCGAGCAAGAGTCATTCCTGGAGTTTGGGAAGGTGTTCTATGACACGGGGCGTTCCTTGTCGGCTGAAGGCTTTAGGTGTTTTCTTTTGTTTTTTTGAGGGGGACTAGTCCAGCGTGTGCATGCTCTAAGGGCTTAGTTCTTTCTTCACTTTCTTCAAGAAACCGATGACCTATGCCTCTGATTGCAACTTGGACCTATTGTTTCGTGGGTCCTGGCTATACAACTCTCATTGGTGATAAATACAGTAGATTACCCTTAGGGTTAAATCCAACAACAGTTTACATCTGGAGGCTCGGGCATTGACACGCCATTGATGGCATTGATCATGCTGGTGCGTGCTCGCTTGAAGATCCCTATGGTGGAATACGTGCACCCTTTGCCGCATTTCAGGTGTCGGCATTTTCAGGTCTATTTCCTTTACTGTGGAGTTTAATCCTTTGAGCTCGTCGCTTAGGTGGCGGAGTGAGATGAACGCTGCTGCACGAAAGTTTTCTAGGTGGAACCTTCCAGAGCCTTTCCAGCCCCTAGAATGCACTGTGTGTAGCATGACCAACAAAAAACAACAACGTGAAAGTAAAAGTGATGATCCTCAGTTGCTATGAACTCTCCGCCTCTCAACCTAGGTCAGGCCGCGATGTCTTCAAAGCATCTGTGGGGAGATTCTACAAGCGGGTCGCGTTGTACGCGGCGGGATTTCCGTGTACCCCGTTTTCGGCATTGCATTCCTTCTCAAAACTATTGGAAGATAAGAACGCTCAGCAGATGTGGAAATGCCTACAAAACATCAAAGAATCCAAACCTGCGGTTACTTGTCGTCCTCTGTTCATTCTGTGGTTTGTGATGGTTTGTGCTTTTCCATGTTAACGGTTGACTCTTTTCCTTCCTTTGCATCTTTTTTTGGGTCGGGCAAAAACCGGCTAAGATGGTGATGCTCGAGAACGTGCTGGGATTCCTCAAAGTGATTGAGGAGGTATGTGACTGGATCAAGCTCCACTTGTCAGAGATTCTTAGCTCAAGAAAGCTCAGTTCAGACTTTCTTTGCCAGTGTTTGCATTCTCTGTTGCGCTGGGTACTTGCTCGGCATAGTGACTTAGTGTGCCAAGGTACATCCTTGCCTGGTTGATCATAGACCCGTTCCTCAGCAGCAGCCCTTTTCCGCACACTAACATGGCTTTGTGAGCTTGCCCGTGCCACAACGGTCACAGCTTCATTAAAGCCCTGTCCCAAGGCTGGATCATGGTTCACCGATTTCCCGACGCAGGGTGTTTATCCTATTGATGCACGGGTCTGTGATGCAAGAACAGGCCAAGAACAACTTCCAAGAATTTGCTGAACACATGAAAAACCAGTTCATGATGAAGAGTGATTTGCATTGGCTACTTGGTTCAGGTCTTGCTCTAGGTCTAGGTCTTGAAGCGATTCAGATTCAGTCACTGCATCCACACTGCTCAGCCCCCCCCCCCGCGACAGCTTAGGAAAGATCTTCTCTTTGCAAGAAACCATCCGACTGTGAAGAAGGATATGGCCAGGAGACAAAGGTTGAGGGCAAACAATTTCTTGCGAAGGGAGATTCATGGAGGGAAAACAATTTCTTGGGAAGGGAAACTCATGGTCACAACATGTCATTTATTCATGTTATTTGAGTTGGGAAGATGCTGAAACATGGATTCCTATCAAATCACGAAAGCTAGCATGCTAGCTGAGTTCTTCTTTGCTTTAGCAATGTTGTGGTGGGAGGGGCTGCGTGCCTTAAAGATTGATATATCAAGCTAACCCCCCCCCCCCCGCGGTTCAACTCCCAGCTGCGCCGTGTAGGGGGTTGGTTGAACGTGTGAACGTGGTTGGTTGGGTGTAACGGTGGCTTGGTGTAAAGGGTGCTGCTGCTGCTGCCGCTCTGCTGCTTGCTGCTGCTGTTTGCTGCTGCCGCTGGTTGCCGCTTTTGTAGCTGCTGCTTTGCTACTTGTTGCGGCTTGGTGCTGCTGCTGCTGTTGCTGACGACGCCGCTGCTACTGCTGCTTGCTGCTTGCTGCTGCTGCTTGCTGCTTGCTGCCGGTGGTGCTGCTGCTGCTGCGGCTTGATGCTGCGCTGCTGCTGCGTCTGCTGCGTGGTGCTGCTGGCTGGCTGCTGGTTGGTGGTTGCTGCTGGCTGCTGGCTGCAGGCGGCTGCTGCTGCTGCTGCTGGCTGCTGCTTGCTGCATAGGACTTGTACTTCACCGTTACAAGTTGTTTACCCCTATTTCTAACCTAATGCATGCATAAGCGGGTGGTAAATTTACCCCCCAGGCTTGCTATATACACCGGCTATTTCCTCAAGACACTCTATTCTTGATACCTTTTACCAGTGCTTATCCTACACTACGGACGCCCTAGTGTATGCACAGTCCTTGTGATGCTTACCCCTCGTTCCGGCTCAAGGCATACATAAGCGGGGTGTAAATTTACCCCCCAGATTTGCCATAACCATAAGCCGGCTATTTCCTCAAGACACTCTACTCCTTATACCTTTTACCAGATCCTACACTACGGACGCCCTAGTGTATGCACAGTCCTTGTGATGCCAGAAATGCTTACCCCTCTTTCCAGCGCAAGGCATACATAAGCGGGGGGGTAAATTTACCCCCCAGATTTGCAATAACCATACACCGGCTATTTCCTCAAGACACTCTATTCCATATACCTTTTACCCGTGCTTCTCCTACACTACGGACGCCCTAGTGTATGTACAGTCCGTATGATATCAGAAATGCTTACCCCTCTTTCCGACTCAAGGCATACAAAAGCGGAGGGTAAATTTACCCCCCAGATTTGCCGATCACGCATCTTCGTGCCTGCCAACGAGTGCACCCGGGTTGTTCCAATGTACCCTTCCCAGTCAACGATGTCACATTTACATTCTTTAGCGCAAAGTATGTACATAGCAACCTTCCTCCCAAAACATGTCATCCCTACATGCTTTGCCGACTATGTAACTAGTACATCCGGTGCGATTCGGCTAGCTTTCGACCTCTCCCCCTGGCCTCAAGTTCAATTCACAAATAATGTGGTATAGCTGAGAAAAGCCAGCGATCCACCCAAATGGGTAACACATCACAAGGACTTTGCGAAGGAGCACAAGATTCCAGCCCTTCAGTCTATATTACAGCGTATGATATACTTTTTTTGCTGGCCTATCATCTTCGCCCTTTAAGTGGTTCAGTCTCTTTAGGCGTGACAATCTCTGAATCGCTCGTGAGGTGAGAAAGGCAGAAGGAACACTGAAGCGGACTTTGCCCGCTGCCCTGGTGCAAGTTGGCACGCAGCGGGAACGCAACGTTCCAAGGCCAAAGTTGTTTTTTTTCAGACTAAGTATTTTTTTTCGTTATATCTCCGTTGGGACTAGACTATGTGGTCGTGACCTAGGCTTTGGACCTTTTGCTTTTCAAGTACGGGAAGTTCGAACTCATCAACACCAGCCAGAGTATCTATCGCATGCCTACTGTCCGGGGAGTGGACGCCCCTCTTTGCTGTCTCACGCCAGGACCCCAAAAGACCAAACAGCTAGTACATGCAAAGAAAGTAAATGACCTTTGGAAGAGGGTTGCAACTAATCACCACAAGCTATGCCAAACTAAGGCCGCATGGAAAGTACTTGGTGTATAGCCAACAGCGCTTTCTCACAGGA